GTCTTAAAATGTATAATATACTCACTTGGATTACAAACCCTAACATTCTAATATTAATTCCACCAAGTGAAGTGCAAGAATCCTAATCATTGAAGGTTTTAAAACAGCACACTTTATATAATCATAAACCTTCTTCCAATTATTTATACAATTATAGTGTTCTAGTTTACATGTATTGTAAGAAAAATGCAGTGGGAAAAGCAATGAAATGTTTTATATTCAATATTGCATGGTTCTGGAAATATCAACATAATAAATTCGCGACACATTTTGAAATTATCAATAGCCTATATATAACAATAAATTCGCAACTTCACATAAAACCACAACTCACAAGCATTAGACAAGAGTTTTTGACATTGTTATTAATCTGACTCATGTAGTCAGCTTCCGAAAATGGAAGTGGTCCTGCGGGTCGCTATATGTGAAAGTATCTGATAGTTCGTTAATATATAGTAATTGTTTTTTTCTATGTACCTACACATATTAATTAGTATATTTTTCTAACATTTAGGGATCGCAGTAATTGGCGCATGCTGTTACGATTGCCCTGCCAGTTTTTGTGTTAACGTTATTTGAATTTGGCAAAGTTAATAAATTAATTAATGTATCGCACTAAAAGGGAGACTGGTCGCGCCGGGTTGGGAGATTTTCACAAAATATTGGATTAGTGTCAAATAAAGATTAGATTAGGGTTAGATTAAGATTAGGGCTCAACATGTGTCGCGAATTTATCTTATAAAATAACATGTATATAACGCGTACTCTGATTGGTCGAAACCCGTGTTTGGATCAAGCCATCCAAACACGGAAATTTAAAGTGAAAGTTTTTTAAAGTGAAATTTTAACACGGAAAGTTGTTATTTTATAAAACAATTACTTTATGGTTTCCGTGTTTGGATGGCCTGATCCAAACACGCGGGAATGTTGTTCGAGTTAAGAAAAGCGCTTTTCTTAACTCTCGCAACATTCCCGTGTGTTTGGATCAGGCCATCCAAATTCCAAACACGGAAACCATAAAGTAATTGTATAATTATAATGATAAATTCGGACGTGTTTAACAATTTACTCATATAGTAAATTCAAAGGTGGAGCTGATCATGCTGAGAAATATACTCGTTACTTCATTACTGACTCAACTTCGTTATAGCTAGTGACGAGTTGTAAAAATTATATCAATCATCATGTTTTCGTTTTACTTTTATTTTAAGTTTGTTTGACACAAAAATCCTAGATGCACACGCGAAATGACATTTCCGTGCTTCAAATTTCAAAAATTTTCTCGGAGAGTACACCCCCACACCCCCCCACACACGCGACCATTGCTATCTGCCTCTAATAAGTAATGATAAATGATGGTTAATTTTTTTTTACTTTTTGTGCGTTTTTTCCTTTTTTTTTTCAAATACAAGTATAGTTAGGATAAATTTTGGAGCAAATTTGGATGCTCAGAATGCAGGAAATGACATTTCCGGGATTCAAATTTCAAAAATGTTCTGGGGGAGTACACCCCCAGACCCCTCCCCCCCATTCATGCGTGGTATATTGGCCACAAACGTGGCCTTCAGCCATTGCTATCCGCCTCTAATATATTATCTCACAGAAAGGTCCCTTTTCAAAAAATGCCCCCCCACCAGAAAATCCTTAAAAAAGGCCCTGCAAGTTGTTTCCTTTGCCTCGCAAAGAGCCTCTGGAACCAGGGTAACTGCAACCAGACAACCCTGGGAATGTTGCGACCACATGCACACGCCTTGGCACATGCCGAGCAGCTTATCGAGATGTGTGATTTATCACATATCTTGAATAAGACGCAATGCAAAATCTATTAGTTTTATAAAACCCCTAGCTACAGTACGCAATATATTATTTCCTTGTTTTCACTGTAGCGGAAATTCCATTACAAATATGAAATGTAAAAACAAAATTTTCAAAACGCCGTTGCTCGCGCCCTGAATGTCCAAACTTCATAATATTTTCGGTGTAGACCAATTTCAGCATGAAGATTTCAATTCTGGGCTCCATTTTTGCCAAATATGAAGATGAAAAACCGATAATCGGTTTGGCGACATA